CGTGACCCCCCTTCCAAGCCCACACAGCAGCCCCTCTTCCCCGATTCTCCCTTATTTTTCTCCACAGCAGGTATAACCAGGTGGCAGGTTCTGTGTTTACTTACCTACCTGCCTGTGGCTTGCCCCCCACCTCCCCGCCTGCCCCACCCACCCACAAACCTCGGTGCCCCAAGAGCAGGGGCTTCACCCTCTGCCCAGACACTCTGAGAATATCTCCTGAATCACCGAATATCACACATGGACATCACGTTAGTGCTTCAGTGAACACACTTTGTTACTTCCTTATCTCTTAACACAGACATCATGCACGTGGATTGGAAGCCTCATGTTGATTCAGTTTTTCCTAAATTGATCTCTAGATTCAGTAGAAGCCCAAAGTTTTTATAGAAACTGACAATGTTAATTCTAAAATTTACAAGGAAATGAGAAGACCTAGAATAGCCAAGAATCTTAAGTAGGAGGAACATAATGGGAAGGCCCACACTACTACATTGCTATCGAGCATTCCTACAAAACTAGAGGAGTCAACACAGCGCGATGCAGGCATAAAGATGGGCGGACAGCAGGAAAGGAAGGAGGTTCACCAAAGTAGCAGGTTAGTTATGTTTCCAAATAATATGCTCAGTGTTTCCAGGGGAAGTGCCTCTGAGTTTAAAACAATAGATCCAATTATTAATCTGATACAAGTTCAGTAATTATGAATCAAAGTCTAAAAACAAGGAAATAGTATCTCCATTGTACTTTTTTGAGATCAACAGTTGGATCTACCACTTTCAAGGTAGAGATTTTTCATCTGTAAAACAGGATATCTGGAAGTTGCTGAAAACATACTGTACATATTATGTGTCAGTATACCTAACACAATTTAAAAGCTCATTTATCACCCCCTTAGGCAGGTAGGTGTGGCCAACATAACAGTGATACACCCTGTTAATACCCTTAATATGATGGGACAATGGCACTTTATCTCTGTCGGCTTCTTCCTAAAGACTCATGTGCTCTCTCTGACCATGAGAAAAACATCAGACAAACCCAAATTGAGGGACATTCTATAAATATTCCTCAGAATCATCAAGGTCATCAAAAACAAGGAAAGCCTGAGAAACGCTCATGCCCAGTTGCTGCCTAAGGAGATGTGACAACTGAATGTACTGTGATGTCCCAGATGGGCCCCTGGGAGAGTTAAAGGACATTAGGTAAAAACTAAGAAAATATTAATAAAGTAAGGACTTCATTTAATAACATACCAATAATGGCTCATTGATTGTGAGAAACGTGCCATACTAGCATAAGGTGTTTGTAATAGGGGAAACCGGCTGCAGGATATGAGGAACTTTCTTGAATGTCTTTGTATTTTCTGTAAATATAAAATTGTTCTAAAAAATAAAGTTTATTTAAAATAAAAATTTTATCCTATGTGTCTGGATGCTGCAGACACCCTGTAGGTAAATGGAACTGAACAGAGATTCTGTAAACACACATAGGGTCACACATTAACATAGGATGATTGCGTTGACAAAAGCACCATGCAATTCACTAGGGAGAGAAACCTCTTCAGTGAATGATCCTGGGGCAACTGAATGTCCAGACTTGGGGGATAAAAGGTGATCCTTGATCCACTGTCTTATACCACACATAAAATTTAATTGGCAATGGATGATAGATCTAAATGTGAAAGCAAAAATGATAAAGCTTCTAGAAGAAAACAGAATTATTTGTCCTGACACTAAGGTGGCAATGATTCCTTAGGTCACAAAAATCAGTAACCATGAAATTAAAAAATATATAAACTGGACTTTATCAGATACAAACTGCTCATTAAAGACACCATTAAGGAAGTGGAAAGGCCTCCCACAGACTAAGAAAAAATGTTCACAAATTGATCTCTAGATTTGGCAAAGAACTGTATCCAGAAGAGAGAAGCTTCTACCAAATAGTAGGAGGAAGACAGACAATCTTGGGCACCTTACAAAAGAAACTGTCTGAATAGCCAATAAGCACATGAAAAGATACTCAGTATCTTTAGACACCAAAGAAATGCAAACTTAAATCCTAGTGAGATCCTACAACACACCTAGACTAAAATCAAGAAAACTGACAATACCAAGTGTCGGTGAGAATGTTGGGCTACTGAAACTCTCATGAGCTACTGGTGCAAATATAAAACTGTACAGTTACTTTTGGGAAACTGTCAGTTTCTAATAAGGTAAGCATATGGCTACCCTGTGATCCAGCAGTTACATTCCTACATATTAACACCCAAGAGAATGGACGCTTATTTCCACCAAAAGGCTTGGATGTGCCTTACCATTCATGTGTTATTTTTGAATGTATGGTTGTCTTCCCTCCATTGTTCCCTCTGGGGTTTAATCACATCACCAGTTACTTTCTTAGCTCCAAACAGAATCTCATTTACCTTCACTTAAGGTCATTTTATCCTCCCTAGTGCTCTGTGGTCATAAAAAAAAATTTTTTTTTTAAATAGCTGCTCAAAATTCTTCTCATCAGAAACTCTTTACAACAGAGAAGACCAGTTGCCCCCTTAAACTTCTCTGTTGTTCTTTAACCAGACCTCCTGGCCCTGATCCTCCCCTTGACCCTCCTCCTTATATACCTTTGGATCCCCTCCAGCTACTCCACATCAAGAAAGAAAAGAGTGATTAAAAAATACAAGATGCGGAGGTACCCCATGTTCATAGAAGCACAACTCACAATAGTCATAAGACTGAAGCAACCCAATGTCCACTGACAGGTGGATGGCTAAACAAAATGTGGTCCACACAAGCCGTGTTAGCCTTAAAGTGGAAGGAGATTCACATACTGTGATGTGATGAAGCTTGAGGGTATTACACTAAGTGAAACAAGCCAGCCACAAAAAGACAAACACTGTATGATTCCACTTGTATATATGAAGGACAGACAGTAGTCAGATTAGAATGGTGGTTGCCAGGGGCCGGGGGAGAGGGAAATGGGGAGTCAGTGTTTATGGGCACAGAGTCTCAGTTTTACAAAACAAAAAGTTCTGGGATGGGTGGTGGTGATGGCTGCGTAACAGTGTGAATGTGCTTAATGCCACTGAGCTGCACACTTAAAAATGGCAAATTTATGTGTATTTCACCACATTTTTTAGGTGAAAGAAAATGGGGAGGGCATGGGAGACAGCAGGTATGACAAAATAGCAAGAAGGTCAGTGTGGAGCTCCTGTGGCAGGTGCTGCTAGGGAACTCAGCTTATAGGAGTGGTTGGGCAGAATGGCCTGGGGGCCAAGTGGCAGGAATCCAGTAAGGAAATGGGAGGGATGGCGGAGAGGAGGAACTGAGTGTAGACCATCAAGGTTTCATGGATTCAGGAAGTGCTTGAAGACAAAAAGGATGCAAATCAGAGAAGCTATGGCTGATAAAGAGTAGCTATTAGTTGTTTCCGCATGTTTCATTTGTGACTAAGTAACCCCAGTCATTCAAATAGGATTCTAGAAACCTCAGGCAAGCAGACTGAAGCGAACAAGCCCTGTCCAGGGACACCTGGGAAAGGACATGGCTTGGCTGGGTCCTCACACATGCCCCTTTCCTGGATCAAGGACTTGGGGTGGTGCCTCAGCAGATGAACTGACACGGCATTTTTGATGTCTTAAAGCTTTGAGCAGATTCCATCTGGAAAACATTAAGCACATGCCTGTTGGCAGATGCATTAACCCCATCTGAATTATGATACAAGCCTCAACTGCTGAATAGTGTTTCATGCAAATCCATCACCAAACTATGCCTGCCACTTGCTCAATGGCACATATATGTAAACGGGCTGTGGCTGCAGAATCCCTCTTGTCTTTTGGCTCAGATCCATATCTGTGCACGTAGCAGAGCGAAATCACAAAACTAAATTAGCTTGGGGAAAGATTGATTTGCACCATTAAAAATGACCTCAAACTTGAAATTTCAAGAGTGAATGTTAGTGTCCTTGCAAAGTGTTGGTTTGGGAGTTCTACCTTCAGATCCTCTGTTTTGGGAACAGAAGCATGTGGGCAGGGGTGATTCAGTTTCTCTGTGGTCCCCACCCTCATCCCAGTCACACTGCCACTTGGCCACTGCAGCCTTTGCCTCCAGTTCCCCCAACTGGCTCTGGCCTCATGCACACCCTGAAAGTGTTTCTGCTTTGGAGTGCTGGCCGGAGGGGACCCCAGGCAGGCAGGACTCTGGGAAATACGTGAATGAAAGAAGGAATCAGGGCTGTGGCTCTGAGGCACGAAGGATCATCGGCTTGTGTGTGGCAGAAGAGGAAACTGGATCAGTAGGCCTGAGAGGCACTGAGCTGGTGGCCTGGGAGAGCGCAGGCTCCAGGCAATGAGGTGGTCTCCGGTGACTTCGGGCTGCTAGAACATTCCTAGATTGTTACCTAATTTCCCTGTCTGTATGCCTTGACTCTCTAGGGAAGTGTAAGTACCTTAAAGGAAGGATGTGGATTATACTCCTTTGGGGCCCCGATTCCTCCTAGCTGCATGTAAGAGGAGTTTGTGTGTTAGAATGGACAGATAAATAAATGTTCTTCTTTAGAAGGTCATGGGTAGCTTGCTTAAGGCTTAAAATAAACAGATGCTTAATTGAGCTGGGTCTAGAGAGCAGTTCTCCAAGTGTGATCTGGGGATGCCTGTGGGGTCCATGAGATCAAAACAATGTTTCTAATATTAACACATGATTTGCCTTATTTACTCTCATGAGTATACAGAGAACTATTCCAGAAGCCCCTTGATACCTGAGGGCTGTGTTGCTCTGACACCTAATGGAATAGGTGCTGTGTATTTAAGATTTCTCAGTTTGAATCCACATCCACAAGAGCTCTTTAGACTCCTCAGTAATTTGTGAGAGTGTAAACGGTTGCTAAAACCAAAAAGTTTGAGAGCCTCTCCACTAAGGTATGTGGGTTAGATAAGACCAAAGTTTTGACTATGGGAAAGACCTGTAAGAAGGGTCTAGAAGAAGACAATAATCATCTGTTCTTTTTTGCAGGAAAAGCTGCCTAGAGAATCTCATGGATGAAGATGAGAAAGACAGGGCAAAGAGGTAAGAAGGCACACCTCCCTGGCCTTGGTGCCGCGTGGTCCGCCCAGCGGACCCTTGCTCATCCTTGCTTGGCACAAAGGGAGGCACCTGCAAGGGGGCTGGGGGGACAGGCCCTCGCGCCCGCTGTCCTTAAAGAATTACTGAGCTGTCCTAAAAACAGTGTAGACCAGCTTCCTCAGTTTTTTTCCTTACCCTGAAATTCCTGATCGTCTGGGACTTGCCAAGTAGTTAATATTTTTACCATGGTCTTGTATTAACCTTGAGGGCTTGGGTCTCATTTTCAGAAGCCTCTGGTTACTGTTTTTCCAGGACAGAGACTTCTGGCCAAGGCAGCCTGACTGGAGCCAGGCAGGCCTGAGTTCAAATGCTGGCTTTGCCGTGGGGCAGCTGTCTGACTCTGGACAATGGTAGTAAAGACAGTGTCCACACTGAGCATGTGTGGTCATCCTCCCTGTGCTCAGCACCTCTCTACACGCTATCTCTGTTTCCTCCTCTGTAAGTGGAGATATCATAGCCACCTTGCCCTGTGGTTCAGTTGATCAGAAATGCCAGCTTGATAGTGGGCACGTCCGAGCTGTTAGAACCCTGTGCACACATATTCCTTCACTGGACATTTGTTGAATCCCTACTGTATCTGAGGTGCAGTTACAAACTTGATATTTTGAAGGTACAGACCAGTTGAAAGTTATCAATTTCACACAGTTTGTCTGAGTTGGTGGGTTTTGCGCTAAGCTTTGGGGAATAAAGATGTGTAAGAAGCTTACTGCCCACGAGGAGGGCATGGGTGATTGGGGCAGTTGATAGGTAAGTGCAGATCGTTAGGTTGCAGGGTGACAGTCCCCGGAGTAGAGTCCTTTCTCAGGAAAGCCATCATCAGGCCCTGAAGACTAGTCCCCTTCCCCCAATCTCATTCCTTTCTGCTCCTGCCACTATGTGTGCGTGGCAGGTCCCAGCCCCTTATGACAGCCTCTTGTGGGCCTGCACAGTTGAAGAGTTTGCCAACTTCCCCATGCAGAACCCACTGCTCGTTTGTCACCTGTAACTCATGGCACTTCAGAGGTCACCCAGTTTAGTGGCTCCAGGGATGTCTGTCCTTCCCTGTCACCTGGGGCACGAGAACAACACATCCCTGTCCCCTGCAGACCTGCTGTGGGGCATGTGTATTGGTTGTTAATTCCCCAAGTAGTGTCTTTAAAAAAAAAAGAAACAGGGTTCAGGGGAAACGGCCAGAGGTATAGACAAAACAGGGAGTTCATTATGCTCTTCTCTCAACTTCTCCTCATTTGAAATGTTTTTGTAATTAAATTTAAACAAGAATACAAGTAACTTAACTCCCCTGCTTACTGTGAAGTAGCAGACCCTTCACTCGGTGCGGGGCAATATGGCTGCCCTCAGCAGTTTCCAAACCTGCGGCGACCAGTAAGACTGGCACAGTCCATGGGGTCCCCAGCAACATGTGATCTAGCTGGGCCAGACTAGAATAGAATCCCCCTGCCCTCTCTCATGGATCCTGTCCCTGGGTGTTTGCCCCTGGGTTGCCCCCCCAGCAGCTGTGGCTAGAGGACTGAACGTAGACACCTGAGCCGCATTCCTGACTGGCCTGTCCTAGCTAATGAATCCCACAAACCCCGTCATGCCTCCTCTTTCTCATCTGCCTCCTCTTTCTCATCTGCAGCACAAGGCTGATAATTTCTGTCCTGCCCACCTCCTGGTTGTTTTGGGAATCAGCCACAAAGTGCACCAAGAAGCCCTTTATTTAGCTTTTAATATTAATGCCCACATGTGTGGGAATATTCAGGACACTTTGCCACAGTACATTTACAAGGTGGTGTCATTAGCAATAAGGCGAACGTCCGCCATGGCAGCCAGCGTTCACTGAGCACCTCCTGTGTGCCTGGTCCTTGCCAGGCACAGAGCACCAGGCTAAGGACTTCTATATGACTCTCTCAGATCATCTGCTTGGCATTCCTTTGAGATGCGTGTCATTGTTATTCCCGCTGACAGATGAGGAAACAGGCTCAGCAAGGCAAAGTCATCAAACGTCCGTCGTGAAGCTCTCATAAGCAGCAGAAGTGGAAATTAAATATAGGCCTCCTAAACTTAGCCTCTGTTCCTGCTCCCCGGACTAGAAGCCAGTCTCTTCATACAAGAGTGAGTGCAGTCTCTGGGCAGGCCCAGCCTGACAGTGGTATCCTGATGGGGCCTTGGAGTCCACAGGAGTTTTGCTTTGGGGAGTGTCACCTTGTTGTCACCCCAGTCTCAGGCCTGCCTCCACTCACCTCAAAGCTGTGTGTACGTTTAGACTCTTCCATACTCAGGGACCACCAAACACAGATCTTCCAGTAAAATCTTGACTAAAAGTTCTTAGAAATAAATCAAAATGTATTCTGCTGCCTTCCAGTCATTCCCATCTTTATTTGCTTTGAGCTGTGGGCACCCACACCCTAGAATGCCTATTTGGAAACCTCCGTGCACAGACAGCAGGGTAGAGAGGCCGCTGGTCCTCACCCCCATCTTGTCCTCAGGTGGGGAAACGGGTTTAGAATGTTCGGTAATAACCCAGATCTCTGCCAGAACAGCAGCAATAATGTGGCAAGCATCCTCCGTAGCACTTGGGAAAAACAAGGGCAAAACGAACACAATCCTAAGGTTGTATCAGTTTCAAAGCCTTTAGACTTACAGGTTTTACAGCAGCTACATGGGAGGCCCTTCCCCTAATCCCACCTGCAGGCCTGGTAGGACTTATTTTCACTCACATGATAGTTTTTGTGAGATTAGAAATGTTTAGCTTCAGATCAAAACTCTCATTGTCTCCAGAAAACATGTGCTGTGCTGGGCAAGGTTTCCAAAGCTCCAGGAAATTCATGGTTTATTCGGCTAGTTTGATCAAGCATTCTGAACCAGGACACAGTTCTACTTTTTTCTGTGGATTTCCATGTAAATCCAGTGAGTGTTAATCGAATGCCTATTTTGTGTTTAGAATTATATGCTGCTTTTTTTGGGGAATATGCAAAAGCATGGTCCCAAAAAGGAAACAGTTGAATGAGAGACGTTTGGAACCCCTAGGGTCACAGTTTACCATTTTGTGTTCCAGTCATAGGCGTGGCTGTCTGATGTGACATAGCTTTGTGGTGTGTGTGTGTGTGTGTGTGTGTGTGTGTGCGTGCGTGGTCATCCAGGAAGTGGGGTCATACGGTAGGAAGTGCCCAGCCTAGAATCAGACAGGCCTGGTTTTGATTCTTGGCACTTTTACTTTTTGACCTTGGAGGAGTCCTGAAACCTTTCCTAGTTTCCGTTTCTTCCTCTGTAAATGGGGGTGACAATAGTAGCAACTTCTTATAGCAACTTCATGACTGCAGCTGCATGCAAGCCCCTAGCACTGCTGGGGTGCAGGGGTACACAGTGCCAATGAGCAGTGTCAACGCTTACAGAGTACTCACTGTGTGCCTGCAGCATTTTGTGTGCATGACTCCCTGATCCTCACAACACCGCTCCACGTGGGTTATTATTAGCCCCCTTTTACAGTTGAGAAAGCTGAGGTTTAGGAATTGCACAGCCAGTCAGGGGCAGGCAGGGATTCAAATGCAGGCATAATTTCCTAGAGTCTGGGTTCCTAACGACTTCTCATAACACTCAGTAAATGTAAGCTGCTCCTTTGGATTCACTCCTTGCTCAAGGGGCAGGGACAGAAAGTGCTGAGAGGAGAACTTGCTTTCCAGAGAAAATAAGTCTCTCTAACTTTGCCGTATTGTAAAATACAGCTTACTCCATTTACTGATGGAACTGAACACCAAGAAGAAACCTTATTGCCTCTTTGATCCGATATTAAAAGATTAGTTCGTCAGCGTTAATTAAAATTGCCTCCTCTGCTATCATCTTGGAAGTTCTGTGTCTGTGACCCTGTGTGTTTTTGTGGAGGGAGGGGGGAAGGAGGGGGACAGGGCATATTGCTGTGCTGCCTTTTGTTAAGAAGAATCAAGAGTTTCACTCAAGGGGGGCTGATTCCTGGAGTTCTCAGTAGAGTAGATGTTTGTTCTGAAACACAAGCTAAGCAATTTTATTATTCTTTGGCCATAACCCTTAGTCTCAACGCCAATAAAATAGTTTAGGCAAGTGGGAGGAGTTACAACACAGTAAACGAGAGTCTGTATGTGCCCTTTTGCAGAAACAAGAGTTGCAGGAGGAAAAGCTTTAGCCCTTTGAGGAGGGGTTATTCTTCAGCTTCCCCCAGGGGTAGTGGGTTGCTGTGGACCAATGACTGAGACCCTCCCGGCACCCTCAGCATTTGCTGATTAAGCCATGTGGTAAGCAAGTGGAAGATAAAGAGGATGCATAGTCTCCTCAGAGAGCTTTCAGGCAAGCTAGGGAGGCATTCTTGGAAATTCTCAAGCCTAATGGAGAAAGAACTTAAGCCTGGATGATGGTCGAAATTCATAAGCTCTACTTTCTCAACCAAGTGCTCGTTCATGGAGAGTAGTACAGTTAAGAGGAGAGACTGACCTCATCTTATTGTTTCATTTCTCTGGGTGTAAATTCTGTGGGTCTGAAAGGAAAGGCTGGTCCAGGCCATGAAGGTTGTAGCCAACTTGGAGGACTTGAGCTCCACGCACACTTGCTTATGCCCTGGATGCAGGCTTGGCGCAGAATAAAAAAGCCCAACCTTGTGCAGTGTGTGTGCTCCCAGCTGAAGTCTAGCGTGCTCATTTTGCTGTGATTTTTTTTTTCATAGGTTCTTACTTGGGTGTTACATATATCATCCTAAACCCTGACACAAGAAAAAAAATGGCAGTGAAGAATTTTTGAGCCTTCCTTTCTGTTTGTTTTATTTGGTGATTAAGGCTGCAGCAGACATTGTGAGAACAGGTGTATCAGGATGTGTGGTTTACTTAACATTACTCTGTAATCTGCAGATGAGTGATTCTGTATTCCAAACAGATGGAAAAGGAGAACCGTACCTGCAGGCAACCTACTAATTCTACTGTGGCCCAGTAAACAGCAGA